AGGAAGCGGTTGGTATGTTACCAACAGCGCTGGCATGCCAAACCTGAATGTCGAGAAGTACTATAGAGCAGAAGAGGATATGTTGTTTATTGACTATGATATGTAAGGTCCATACGAGCTCCTAGAATTATACGATATATAATATCATATAACCTTTCACATTTTGAAGATATAAGATTATTAGGAACATGAAATCAAAAAAAGAAGATGAAGAGAAACATGGCGCAGTTTCACGGCCAACCTGTGTATTGTGTGTGCATGAGAGTCGATGACTAGCAGACATGTTTTAGAGTTTAGACCGTACAAGGTAGAAAACAATCTTCCTAATAGAGCAGATATTCACGCGGGCTTGGTAACAATATCTTGTAGGGAAATTTCTCCCAACGCTGGAAGTAAACCTCTTCTAGATGTAAAGCTATATTTTCAATAGGATCAAAACAAATAGAGGCCAATTGAAGCAATTTAATCAGATGTACTCGTTGCTTAGAGTTCAGTTTTAATCCCAGACTTTATCGTAGGTCACTCGAAATGTAGAAAAATTTAGTGGTCCAGGCGGTCACGCAAGACAGAAGCCGACCAGTATGTATACTGTGCGACGAAAGGACTTTATTACTAAGGCGCTTGAGGACAAATACTGCTAAAATATTCAATTACGGAAAATCAGCGATTTTATTTCTAGGTAGAGCTCACCTTATTAAATTAAAAATAAGTGCACTTTTAGTGCTTTTAGAAGTGAAGTTCAACAGAAGTATGCTGTTAGCAATTTTAAGTTAAAACGCGGCTGCATCAATGGTCGCAAACCGCACCACTTAAGCAAATTTAATGGTCGCCACTGATCCACAAAGTTAATATGCACCAAGAGAAGTGAACACTTCGGCATTTCAGTTAAAGTGAAGTTAAGGTCAAGTTAAATATTTAATGGAACCCGCCAAACAAAGATTATAATAGTTAAGAATTTAAGGTATTGGTCAATTAAGTTTAGTTTCACGTTAGGCATTTAATTCTTTAAGAGGTAATTATCTCAGAGCCTGACGGGCCTGCCAAAGTGTTCAAAAGGAGGTGACAAAAGCATGCACCCAAAATAAATCAGTAACTTGGCAAAGGTTGTGCACAACAAAATAAAACCATTAGTTATACACGAGAAAAATGTGGCGCAAAATCATGAATAATGGGAACAGTTAGGACGACGGAAAACTTCAGGAGATACGCAAACCTTTAGAGTAGCTAACTTAGAGAGCTGCGCCTCTGTCTTATGTAGACAGAGTAAGCTCTGCTTCTTCGTTGGAATTTTCAAGTAGCCAGGTTGGGAAATTTTCCCAACAATCTCCAATACACTCATAAAATTAAGATTATTATTCAAATAAAATGGACGTTTAGTCCTTGTGTGGGAGATTCTGAGAAGGTTTGACCAGTGACAAGGACCTATCAGTGCTACGCTTGCTATATCCTCGTGCTGTGGGTAAGAAAGTGCCAATATTTGGAAAATATGACCCATTCACTTTTCTGAGTGCGCGCTGGGGCTCATATCTTTGCGAGTTTGACTAGATTGACCTCAGGAATGTACTGCTTCGCTAATAATGACGCTTCATGACAGCATTATGATTTACCCGACACTGACGTGTCAGTAAAAAAACGGGCTATTTCAAGAAGTAGTTGTTCCCGTTTGCTGGTTAGGGCAGCTACATGTAGTGGCCCGAGTACCGCTCGAGCCAGGCAAGGGCGCAACTTGTAGTGGCCGGAGTACCGCTCGAGCCAGGCAAGGGCAGCAACTTGTAGTGGCCGGAGTACCGCGCGAGCCAGGCTAGGGCAGCAACTTGTAGCCGGAATACCGCGCGAGCCAGGCTAGGGCAGCAACTTGTAGTGGCCCGTGTACCGCGCGAGCCAGGCTAGGGCAGCAACTTGTAGTGGCCGGAGTACCGCGCGAGCCAGGCTAGGGCAGCAACTTGTAGTGGCCCGAGTACCGCGCGAGCCAGGTTAGGGCAGCTACTTGTAGTGGCCGGAGTACCGCGCGAGCCAGGCTGAGCCTGGCTAGGGCAGCAACTTGTAGTGGCCGGAGTACCGCGCGAGCCAGGCTTGGGCACAACTTGTAGGGGCCGGAGTACCGCGCGAGCCAGGCTAGGGCAGCAACTTGTAGTAAGCCACGTAGCCTATAGCATGACTTCATAGCTAGAGAACATTGTCATTATTATAGATCAACTAAAGCTTTCAAGTGTAAAAACATACATAATATTCTACTTTCTTTTGAATTGTGTTATTGTTGAATAGGTGTTAATTAATAAATTTAATATTTTATGTTCGTGTCATTAGCAGTTTAAGCCATTAACTTTGCTGTTGTCAAGTATTTCTTTGATATACCAAGTTGGATCGTGGTATGTGGGCGAGTACAGCAAAAATGCGATTGTAAAGACTGGTTGAGAGCGCTAGGCGACTACATATATTTTATTATCGTGAAGTTTTGCTATTTAGGACATTTTTCAATATAAATGTGCATTGTATATGTGCGACTCTCCTGTTGAAATTATTCTAATTATTATCTTAGTTATGATTCTAATTATTATCATAATTTTAAGACTATGTACTCCACTTCCCCAGAACCACATGCACTGAACCAATCGCAGAGCTTGTGATGATCTGTATTTTCTGAACGCGTATTTGCCAGGTCGCGGCTTCGACTGCTATGTCGGAAACTCGTGAGCAATCGAATAAATATTTATATTTAGGAATATTTAATGCGGAGCAGATTCTAAAATTTTTGCGCAACATTAGGGGAAATAACGAAATTTTTTTTATAAATAACAAAACAATAAATATGAAATTATTTCTAATATAGTTAATCTGTTCACCCTGTAGAGTCTAAATTCTACTGAAGTGTTAAAATGTAATAACAAATAGAATAGAATAGAAGTATGGGACATTAGGCCGATAGATAAAAAAATCATGAGCCTCTATTGCTAATAGTATTAATTCATTAGATTAATTTCACTCTATAGACAATATTGTTTTTCCACCGTAGCTGTGATTGCATTTGTAACATTTTGCGTTCCACGTTAGACTCAGAGTTCTTTACCACTGTAGCACGGTGGTAATACCTATAGTCTGGTGCACAAGGTGCCTCTATTTATGTTATTTTCCCGATGTCCATTTCACTATTGTAGAAAATTTTTGTGCGATGCCCACGCTGGAAGTTTTCACCGGTGCCGTTCAGTGGGAATTCTCATTTACGATGTTTCACGAAATGTTGAATCAATGTTGAATGCAATTCGTGTTTAGAATGTTATATTGCATCAGATTTGCTGTAACCTAGGATATTGAATAGTTTTTGGTTTGCTGTTTTGTTTGGCTTGTGAACTTCTCTTTGTGACTTTATTACGTTGTTTATTGAACCTCAATTAGAACGCGCTTGCATTGTATTTTATTGTATATCATAAATCATCCTAATGTATATGAGTATTGAAATATGCTATTAAAAAAATCCCATTTAAGTTTATTAAACTTCCCTCTACTTGATAATCAAGATGTGAGAACACTTGAATTTGCATCATAGTGAAAGAAGCCATGATATAATCAAGGCGATATTGTAACGCCTACATCTTGGCGCATTAAGTCAGTGTTTTACGTGCCTGATTTTCTCTAAAATAATTTTTAAATGTTCCTTCAGCAGAAATTAACATACGAAAATAAACGCTAACTGACGAAAAATCCATGAAATATTTTGCACAATCCATGAACTTGAGCCAATACTTTGGATGTAGTATGCAGTAGATAATTCAACATTCGTTTCTGTTTTGTCACAGAGGCTTGCCTATAAGGTTGGTTACGGGACAAAGCATTGGCTAGATCCTGAGCTTCGTTGTGGGTTTGATCAACAATGATACGTCGACCAACACCTGTCGAAGCGTGGTCATCAGCTGCATATTTTGATGAAGTTCATTGTAGGTTTACAATAATCTAATTAGTTTCAAGTATTTTGCATACAAATTATTCACTTCAGCACGAAGATTTTCGTATACATAAAAAATACAACAACAACAATACACGAGTAGATACACGAGTTATCTGTGAGACATGAGTTAAACGTTTTAGCATCGGAAACATTATTTGTACGGTATACGCGCTGAGCACATTTATTTACAGTGTGTTTTATAGATAGATACAGTGTGTTTTATAATGAATGACTCGCCACTGGCTCACGCGCGCAGCGTTCTCGTCTGCGCCAAACTCTGCACCCGTGCCACGCAAGCTGCTGGACAAATCAATTAATTTAATTTAATTTAACTAATAATTACTAAATTTTTCAAATGAAACCCTGTAATATTCTTCTTGCCAGCAATATGCGTTTAGATGTATTTGGTAATTTATACGAACTGGAATGTGCTTATCAGGAGAGAAAACGCGATATTTATTATAGTTTTGAAACTATGCCGATTTTCAGCAAAGTGTTTTCTTAGCAATTCGTCATTTCTCTCCACTCGTATACAAATCCCATCATTAAATGAGTTGTCTTCGTCATTTTGAATGCTAAAAACATCCTCAGATGACAATTTATGCTAATTTAAATTTTTAGATGTTCCAAGTACTAGCCATTAAAAATGTTGACGCAAATACCTACGATCAGGATGAGTAATTAGAAATACTTTACTAATTCTAACAGTGACTTCACATAAATAAATTTATCCAGAGTTGGTCGAATCTCGGAGTATTTTTATCTAAAAACTATACTCAAATATTTGAGAGGTAAAACAATGAGAATAGTCCGGTAAGGCATGTTTAATATACTAAGCCTATCCAATGCATAGTTTTCTTCCAACTCTGAATTTGTGCCAGGAGGCAATCCATAAAAGTTCCCTCATAGAGGATGGCTGATTTGCCGAGCAACATTTCAATGACGTTCCTTGAAATAGACGAAAATCAATCGAGGGTTGAAAGGAGACTGTAAACTACACATTCTAAAAGCCTATTTCATGCATGGTTATTTAATATCTATTCAACTCGTCCCTCAGGGTTGCGACTCGTGCTACGTGGCGACACGCACGCAGACGCCATCTAGCGTCACGCCGGCGCACCTTTCCTACGCAACGCTACACGCTTCAAGATGAGGACAAATTCCACATGCACTTAATCTTTTGCAGTTATAGAGTAAATAATTTTATAAATCTACTATATTAATGTATTAATATTGATTGAATTGATGAATATTTAAATATCGTGACATTGTATGCTGCTCACCCAATGGAAAAATAAATTGCTGCTGAGATTTGTGAATTTGTACACATTATCATTGGTGAAATTTTATGTGCTTAACTCGTCCGTCTAATTTGCAGGCTGCTCGTCTTAACATCGAACTAAAGAGCAACTGCAGGCGCTGCTGATGAATGAACTAACATGAATGAAATACATGAATAACATGAATTATACAAAAATGCAAGATGAACCCGCAGGACGGGCGCCGTGAGTTTCCTCCATCTTTAGATTTATGGTAACGAATTTCTTTAAAGGAAACGAGAAATGTCAAATACCAGGGCACTAAGTTTGATTTATTTAAAGGGTAATGGAAGGTTTGAAGCAAGCTCGATCCTCCATGCCTGGCCTCGACATCCAATCTGCAGGCAGTCGGATTCAAAGCTTATAAACGGAAGTTGAATAAGCTTAGAGAATGTAAGAATATAATAAAAAATCGGTGGAATTCGAGAATTTACGGTTGAGTCTCAGAGTATCCTCCAGTTTAGAAACATGGCAGGGAGCAAGATCGAAAAAGTTTTGGCCATGAAAGAAGCTTTACCGTTGATATTCTTGGGCTAGGCGAGGGAGGAGATAACGCCCGCAGATGCCGAGCTTCAGAACGACCAAGCCCCACGCATGGGAACCACACTCCTGCCGAACTGTTTCGAAGACAGACCCATAGGGAGTACCCCACGTATGGGAACCACACTCCTGCCGAACTGCCGCGAAACAGACCCAGAGGGAATACCCAGCGTCACGGGAACCACACTCCTGCCGAACTGCCGCGAAGACAGACCCAGATGGAGTACCCAGCGTCACGGGAACCACACTCCTGCCGAACTGCCGCGAAGACTGCGAAGACAGACCCAGAGGGAGTACCCAGCGTCATGGGAACCACACTCCTGCCGAACTGCCGCGAAGACAGACCCAGAGGGAGTACCCAGCGTCACGGGAGTAACGCTGGAGTTAAAACGGGAGCACCCAGCGTCACGAGTGGTAACCGAAATCTGCAGCATCATCCACTGGAGCTTTTTCTTTTGGTTCGGCTTCAGAATGACCAGAAATGCGGATTTATATAAAAATAAAACGAGAATAACACGAAATCTACCAGATTTTGTGCATGAATGAAAGCAATAATTTTTTGCTTGCCTCCTCGAAATATTTCAGATACCATTAAATATAAATTGATCCCAGGAACTACCACTGAACTCACGGAGATTGATCAAATTAACTTAAAGTGATGTAAGCGCAGACAGAACGGAGCAAAATTGAAAGAAAATTATACTCTACAGCCACTGGAGAACATCAAATTGACTATTTTGATTTAATTATGATAACTAATATTTAATTATGATAACTAATTATGCAAATGCTCACGAGACGAGCATTCTTTTAGAACTTCCGGCATACAGAGCTTCCGCCTAGAAATTTTTCACCTTAAAGCAGCATGTAGTCTGTTATATTTTCACATAAAAAAATGCTATTAAAATTTAACAAATGTCTCCCCAGCGGTTTCTGAAATAGAATTAGTATCAATAAATTTTTTAATTTTACTCGAAAATTCTTCCATACCTAGAAATTTATTCGTTTGAAGAGGCAAGACGTCTGTTATATAACTCAGGAGTTTCAGTTAAGCCGGTTCTGAAATTGAATTAGTATTCATAACTTTATAAATTAAACTCAATAGTTCTCGGAAGTCTGGAGATTTAAACTCTCTAAAGCAGCAGAAAATCTTATAATTTCACGAGCATCAGTTCGCCTGCTTTTGAAATAGGATTAGTCTTAATACCTTTTTAAATTCAACTTGAAATTTTTCCCAAACCTAGAATTTATTCACTTTAAAGAGACGAAAAGTCTGTTATTATTTCACATTTTTTATATAGCCGTTTTTTAAATAGCCTTAGTATTGATAACTTTTAAAATTCCACTTGAAAATTCTTCCAAACCAAAAAGTTTATTCACTTGATCTGTTCAAATGTTTAAGAGAAAGAAATAATAAACGACTAGCGGTACGAAGAATGATTTAAGTATGGAACGTATGGTGCGAAGCATGATTTAAGTATGCAAGGTATGATTTTGATCGACAAGCGGTGTGTAGTATGATTTAATTAATTAGTAGACTGCTAATGACTGCTATTGCGCACATTCTCTGTAAAGTCAATTCAGCGTCAATTGCCCAATCAACGGTGTCTGGTTCGTTGTACTAGAAAAAAAATCAATTGCGGACAAAAAATTTAAATGATTTTTTTCCGCACATTGCTAGAAGTTAAGTATTTGCATCATCTAATTTAGCGCACTTAGATGAACAACAGATCAATTAACTAAATGTAAATGACATGTTTTTTATGTAAGCTCATTATAACTTATCAAAGTTCAGTCATGGTTTAACTATGGTCTTAGGCCTGCTTGCTAACTAGGGGACTACCATCGTCAGGAAATCAAATCTAATCATGCACGGGGGAAATACTGACGGTAAATACTAAATTTTCATCTGACTGATAAGAATTCGATGTTCCTAAAGCTTTCACAGGAAGCTTCAAATGACGAAAAAATATAGCTGTTCGAAATTGTATTGGCTTCAGCACACTTGACGAATATGTCAGGTCAAACTCACATCAACTTGAATCTCCTCGTCTCCCTAAGCCTGCTTTGAATAACTTTTCTACCTTCTATGTACACTGCAAAAGATGTTGGCAAGCGGTCAGCTGGTCTGGACCAAACCATTTTTGGCTTTTATTTAGAAAAAAATCCGTTATTGACAGTGAGTACAATGGAAAAAAGTCATTTAATAATTAATTTGGAACTATGTTTTCTGAAAGCAAATTTTTAAAACAAATTTCGCTGCAACTTTGCCTACAAAGAACCAATGTTACGACGACGCCAGAAACATCCCCGAAAACTTCAACATTCTGATTGTTTTAAATCCTGTTGTAGTGACTATTGGCATCAGTATTAGAAGTGACATAAATTACGTCATCACATTTGCATATGAGGCTTCGGTAAGAAGCATAATAGAATGAGTGACAGGAACTCGTTGTAAATCAATAAAGTGCAGTAAAGGCTCTTTGCCCTCACAGAGTCTTGAGCGGTTGCGCCGCAAAACCATTTTCTGTGACAGCTCTCTGCTGCGTATCATCTCGTCACATTCACGCCTCGCAATGCATAAACAGCTACAGGTATGGGTTCATGTACAACGTATTCTTGGCCAACGGCGCTTCTTATCAGGCCAACGGTTGTACGTACGTGACTTTGCCGCCTTGCCTCGGTCCCAGTGATTCAACAGCGTAAGCCGGGCCACTATTGGGCGAGACGGCCAATCTCCGCGCTCATAATCGTCTGCCCCGCGCTTAATCGCCAGTGGACCGTCTTTGATTTCTGACGAGATAAAGTGCTTTTCTCTAATTTTTGCATTTTTAGCAGGTATAGCTGCAGTTCGTATGGATCATAATTTTCGATTTTCTGTTTAGTGAAATTTTTCGAAACAAGATTTAATTGACGCAGTTTCCTCGACCTACGGCTATAGCATTCGTTGCTAGACCTAGATACCGATGCCTGTTGTACCCAGTGGAACCCAGTTATTTGGTTCATTTGATCTGTCCTTTTATTTTCATGATCGATTATTTGGTAAAAATGTCGTTATATTTATAAATCTTACCTTATCCTTGCTGATGTATGTTTTGTCTTTGCTTTCCAGCGAGCGCATATCATGAAAAAGCTGTTTATATTAATTCTTGTCCTGCCATGGCGGTGCTTCTGAAAATAATGTTTCCTGAAAGACTATCATGGCAGAAGTCTCTTTACACTCAGAATACTCTATTTAAACCATTTCAACTTCTCGATGGTAATTCTAGTTACATGTTCCACACTGAACTTGGCCTCACGTTACCAATTTATTAACATAAATATTTTTCCGTGCAACTTTGTACTCTCGTGCTGCGAAACCAGGGTTGCAGCTCACCCAGCCACCCGGGCTGGACGTTTTAGTGTTAAAAAACCTGGGTTTTTATATAAACACGTTGAGTTAAAAGTGGGTTTTTAAATACAACTTGAGAATTCATTAAATTGATTTTATGGTTTTGAATTTCACAAACAATAATATTGGAAGGAAGCTGCAAAGGAAATACCTATTAAGCTTTCTTGAACAAAAACAGTCATCTCATTTGTGTACTGCAATACAATGCACTTGCAATACATGCTTTGTGTACTTGCAATACATGCAAGCCTCCATAAAAAGCCAACATTGATTTGAATCCTAAAAAGTCCCTCACAGTATAAAGCTTTATAAATGATACTAGGTCCCCTAACTTGCTCTACAGTCATTTAGGGCCTATCAAAATTATATCAAATGATGACCACCAGAACCCCATCATATCAAACCTTATTTCGCGATTTTATCTAAATTCTTAGCAATTTTAGTCACATCATAGCCAAAGAAATAGATTTCACACAATTTTTTGTGAATATTTTATGTAAGTTCTACCTGAACTAAAAGTTTAATATGAACTTCAACATTTGGTGTTAATTCAATTTTCATTATGTAGTTTCTCAATATGAAACAGAATTAGTCCAAAAAAAATTAGTTTCTCAATAATATTTACACACATTATGCATGTTTGATATTATTTCATGTTTGATATTATTTTTTTTGTTAACTAATTCAAAAGTCTAATAAAAAAGTTTTACAAAAGTTCGGCATTAGTAAAAGCCCACAGTCAAGTGTGTGAATTGAGGGAAGTCAATAGACAATTGTCGGTTTTGTCATATATACAAACCACCTCATAATTAGGCTCTTTAAATAGATTCATATATTAAAATTCTTCACAAAAACTGCTAGTGAAGAACATGTGTATTATTTAAATTTTGCATAATTTAGGTTCCTAGTCAGCAGAACTCTTTAGTAGT